AGTTTAATAAAACTGACAGACACATGGCAGATCATGACAATATGGTGTAGCTGAAACCTAAGGACAATAAAAATGGACGTAGGGGGATCCAGACAATGAAGTGACTAAACCTGGTCCAAGAACCCAGTATGATCTCAAACTAAATACAAACAAGAACTCTGGTAACCAGTTAGAATGAACATAAGCAGCAGATCAGAGGAATCAAGACAAAAAAGTAAACACAAATCTGCACCGATGAGTACAGTAAGGGAAATTTGGTGGCAAGTGTTCTGAAACATATTATAATGCCCACATAATTCTACACATCCGTTCACTCATTATTCATCACAAGTAACACGGGAACATCTTACCCTTCAGTGCCTATATTTCTCTGTCCACAAGTTTTATCAAAGCAGCGTGCTTTCTTCTTCAGCTTTTGGAAACTGGCTTCCTCTACTACATTCACAGATCCCGATGCAGCATGGTGGTCTTGCGTTTTCTTTTTACGTTCTGTAAACAAAAAAAAATTTAGTCTCTGTGTGTGTACGTGTGCACTCAAGAGCTTGGTTGTGGTGGGGAGGAGAGAAAGGAGAGAATCCTGAAGGCAGGAACCCACTTTTTACCTTCCCAGTGCAAACTCGTTTCTACTACAGGTGTGTCTCATTTTATTGCCCTTCCAAGTAATGCATTTTTTTAAACAAATTAAATATTTGTAACAACCCTGAGTTCAGCAGTGACATTTCTGTCCAACAACATTTGCTCATTTCTTTTCTCTGTGTCACATTTTGGTAATTCTTGAAATATTTCACTATCATCTTAATTAAAATAGGCATGACATTCTTTTAAGGCAAATCCAGCGCAAGTCCCTAATTCTCAGCAATTCTACAAACCCTGAGAGAGATGAAGAGGCTACAAAAGGAAAGTCTGAGGCCAGCAGGGGTTGGTCCATGAGGTTTAAGGCAAGATTCCATGTCCACTGCGTACCTGTGCAAGGTAAGGCAGAAAGAGCTAATCTAGAAGCTGTTGCAAGTTCTCCAGGAGATGAAGCTAAAATAGCTAATGAAGGTGGCTACACGAAACGACAGATTTTCAATGCAGACAATTGCAAGTGGAGGCCATCCAGCACTTTAATAGCTAGAGAGGAGAAG